GAGATAAAATACTTAGGACATTTAATTAATGAAAGAAGTAACAAAAATAACACCTGAAGAGTTGAGGAAATTTTTAGGATTGACTGGATATTGTAGGCTGTGAATAGATAATTGTGCTATTTTGAATAAAGACTGGTATGCAAAGAACCCAGTGTTACACGGAATGTAAGGGAATGGCTTTGAGGGTTTTAACCCAGAAGTGGGGAGGGAAGAGAGAGTTAGTGAAGAAAAGCAGAAAGTTGTCTTTTGGAAGTATCAGATATTGGTGCTGAGAAGGGGTTGAATTGTTTAAGAGAAGACATTTAGAAAGTTGGTTTGCACAGACTTGGGCTGGCTTGGAAGTCAGAATGGCAGTGGGAGAAAGGACTTGAATCTTTAGTGTTATAAGGAGATTTGTTTATTGGAAGGTTATAGATATTGTGGGTGGCGGAGACAGAGATTTCCATCAAAATAAAAAAGCATTAGCGAAACAATTTGGTCTCACGGCAGCCGAAGCGACTGCCATCATACAACAATGTCCTACCTATAGTCAACAAGCTCATTCTATCCCTATGGGTGTAAACCCTAGAGGACTCAAAGCTTGTGAAATTTGGCAAATGGATGTAACTCAGTATCTATCCTTTGCCCCATGGAAATATTTGCATGTTTCCTTGGATACTTATTCAGGATTTATTATGGCATCCCCACAAAGGGGAGAAGCAACCAAACATGTAATAAATCATTGTATTCGGACTTCTGCATCGATGGGAAGCCCAATTGAACTTAAAACTGACAATGGACCTGCGTACACCAGTACTGCCTTTGCAGACTTTTGTAACAAGTGGTCCATCACACACAAATTTGGCTTATAAATTGAAAGAGGAAAAATGCCTCGGCCTCCCAGCCATGCAAAACAAACTCAATCTTTGCTTATATACTTTGAACTTCCTTAACCTGACTGGACAGCCTCCCACATCGGCTGCGACCCGTCATTTTTCTGCTTCTCCATCAGCTACCCCAAACCATAGGTCTATTTCCACCAACTACCTGATCTTGCTTGGAAAGGGCCCGCTGACCTTATTACCTGGGGCCGTGGATACGCTGCTGTCCAGGACAATGATCGCATCATTTGGATCCCCAGAAGACACGTAAGACCATTTCATTTACAACAAAAAGAAGGAGAAACCCCTCGTGCTGAGATTTAAGAAGAAAACACCTTGCTGAGTCCTACCGGCAACGGACTCTCAACGCACGGTGGTGATCAGTTGGTCCCCTGAGCACAGCGGAAGATTCATCAGGAGGAAACTACCTTCACATTGTACATATACATTTTATTAGCTTTAATATAACACTTTCTTACACATGCTAATGTTAGTAGAAGTTTGGGAGTGGTTTTGTGGGTAATTGTTTTTCTAATTTTGCTAGTAATTTTGTTTCACACGTATAAGTGACTATGATTTGTTTACATTGTTAGCTTTGGGACTCTCAAGTGAACATCAAATCCCCACATACATACACTTCAAGTCAAGTACGCTCCCGCCAAAAACGCATTGTCTATGCATGAGGTCCTTACTTTCTACCTAAGTCTACTCCACCACCTAAGGTTCCCATATTGACATTTCCAGCTGAGGGGGGAGTGAATAAGGACAATGGGCCTCTGCAACAATTGCATAGAGGAGACTATATATCACGGATTCTGGAATGAAGTCACGATCTTGCATCTATTGCTCCTACATCTCATGATCCTTCATGTCAGCAGCCTCTACATTCAATCATGATGGGACAGTAGTAAAAGACATTCAAATAGCTGCTAATCGGACAAACTCCACTACTCCTATTTCCCAAACCACACCCACCACTGACACTGGGTGGCTCATTGAAAACTCGGATATCCAGAGGCATCTTGCCCAATCTCGGGTGCCAATGAACTATCGGGATCTTCATTTATTAAATAACTGGACAGTACATATGTTCAACGAGACTATCAAGGTGCTGAAGCTGATGAACAAAGAACTGGCTGAAATCAGGGAGGTGGTCTTACAAAACCGATATGCCTTAGATATTATGCTAGTAGCTAAAGGAGGCGTTTGTGCCCTCATACACTCACATTGTTGTACCTATGTATCTGATTATCAGTATAACATCACTCACACCATAGAACATATGGAAAACTTGATCAAAAACAATCCCTTATCATCCAATGGATCTGGCGCCATTGACATCTGGGCTGCCCTTTGGTCATGGCTCCCGGATGGTTCTTGGTTGAAATCAATTATGCCAACTATTGTATCTATAATCGTACTGCTTGTTTTGCTTTGTTGCTGTATCCAATGTCTTCCCTCCCTTCTGCAAATGTGCAAAGGTTTTATTCCCTCCAATAGGAAGGACGTCCTGAAAAGTGAAACCAAAGCCCTTCTGGAACTGGAGGAACAAATCAGGTGTGGTCAGAGAAGGTGCTCAGGACTTACAGGATAGGGCTTCCAGAATAACTCAGAGGTTACAAACTCCTGACATGTGGTTTTCTTGGGTGCCTGGATCCGGATGGATTTACAATTTGTGTGAGCGATTTGTGGAAATATATAACTGGAATACAACTCAGAAACTTGATGGCCTACCTCGCTTGACATCTCCTGGCCACTTTTCCACTAACTTTGTTCACCGTAATAAAAGGATGGGTGAGCTACAAACATTTGCAGAAACCGGATGGCTGAAGAACATATTGTCTACTGTACTCATGATCATTGCTTTGCTTATTTCTGTATGTTGTAGTATCCAATGTATTCCTGCTTTGTTTGCTATGATGACAAACATATTTGCCAAACGTAAAGAGAACATCATAATAACAACACAGCTGAACCGTTGCAAAAAAAAAAAAAAAAACAGAGGAGATGTGGGAATCAGGTGGCCACAGTATATGTGTAGATCGGCCTAGCTGGTTGGACACGTGTATGGAGCTTGGCACCGAAATAATCTGAGTAGGAAAAGGGCGGGTTCAGCTAGATACTCACTGAAGGGCCCTATTCATTCTCTCTTTGTTCATAATATTGTAGAACATAGGCTGTGTTTGCATAGCAGAGACATCTCCTTGTATAACATTCCTGAGGATTGAGGTAATCTCTGATAACGGAGAGGTGGGCCTCTCAGCTAGAAGAAGAAGATGCTGGGAGAATTGAGTTTCGTTTTTCCTTAACTTTTGCTTTCCTAGAATTCACGTGATTTACTGCAAATTGTAGAATGTGAAACCTATATGGAGAATATATGGATGCTTTTCTTTTTCATGCATGTAATATGAGATGTGTAGCCATAATAACGCCTTCTGATGACGCTGTATTTTGATTACTAATAAAAGAGAGGCAGGGTTTTGTTCTTTGCTCTCTCATCCCAAGAAACACCTGTCCTTGTGTTTCTCTAATCTGGACTACTCATGAGGAGCCCGCCAGGATGATTGCAACACGTAATTAGTGTGAACTCGGTAGACTTCATCTAATTCATTAATTATTTCGTCTTTTTCTCTTTGGAGTGCCTCTGCTATCATCTCAGCCATTACCATTGTCAGATCTTCCTCCCGGTCTTCCGCTACATTCTGGAAACGCAGATAAAATGCCGCTTTTTCCATTTCTAATTGGGCCACGGTGTTCTCAAGTTCCTTATTTAATCCTGTCATTTTTGTATCCAGTGCTTCTAGTTTTTCTTCCGTCAATTCGGTTTTTTGTTCTATTTCTTTTATCCTTTGGTCATTTTTTTGAATGATTTCTTGTATTAAGTCCATTTTCCCAGCAATCTTTTGGATATCGTTCTTGACTTCTCTCTTTACCTCATCCATGTCTTTTCTAGATTGCTCATGATTTCTAGTCATGCATTCTTGCATTTTGGCCATAGTTTCCTGGATTGTTATGAGCATGGCCTGCATTGTTGGCATATTAGATGTGCTGGGTTGCTTATCTGATGCAAACATTCCCTCCAAAGTTTTCTGTGTCACTGGGGAAGCCGACGTTCCCGCTAAGATTGATGTTGTTTTCTTGGCTGTCTTCAACGTGGTTGTGGTGGTGCTGGTCATTTCTTTCAAGATCCTATATTGTTCCTCCAATATTTTATCAACTTTCTCCCAAATCACCATCCAAATTCTATATAATTCCTTTCTTTCTTTTCCTTTCTTTTTTTTTTCTTATGAAAGTTCAGTTCAATAACCTTTCAATCACTAGATCTCCTTTCTTTAAATAAATTCCTTTAAATAATTAATTATCTCAATGTAATATTCCGTTGAAAATGTAGTAAAGATATAAATTTAACTACAAATATAGATATAAATATATATAAATGTATAGCTTATATAATTAAACAATTGATCAATTCTTAATATCTAATAGTTGATTATTCAGTAATCAGTAACTATCCTACTTATTGTATAAAATCAAAAAAGGTCATAAAAATCAAGAAAAGCAAGAGGTGTAAGTGTGTCATGGTTGTTTAGAACCAGACCCTTCTGGAAGAAATAGATTTCCTAGTTCCATTTCAGCTGGGTTTGAGCACTGCCATGTTAACCCCAATAGATGATTTTTATCAGAAGACTGATGGAGGACAGTAGCCTTCATTATTATTATTATTATTATTATTATTATTATTATTATTATTATTTATTATTATTATTATTAATTTTATTTCTATACCGCCCTTCTCCCGAAGGACTCAGGGCGGTGTACAGCCTGATTAAAAGCACAAAGACAGAATTTAAAATAAATTAAAATTATTAAATGATAGGCTGAATTTAAAACCCCAAATTTAAAATCCCATTTTTTAAAAAAATGGGATTCTTGATTCTCACTCAATGGCTTTCACTAGCATTTATCATAATATCTTCCTGCAGAGGTTGTCCAAGCTAAGTATAGGTAGAACACCTTGAAGGGAAGAGCTGAAGTAATAATTAACTAAATGTAAAAAGAAGTCTAGTTCTAACTAGATATTTTTATGCTGACAACTACACTGCTTTTAAATATAATTCAAATAGGCTCCACAAATCCTACCTTGCAAAACCTACAGCATGATTTAGGCAGTCAGCTAATGCCATCTGTCTGTCTTCATCTTGTGCCATCACAAGTTTCTCTAGCAGCACTTTGAATCTCTCCATTAGAGGAGTCAAGAGGTTCCTCATTAAAGCCTGCTTACGTTCCGTAGAGTATTCACTATTCACAATTAATACTCCTGCAGTCTCATAAATAAAGAGTTGATCATCACTGGTTAATAAAGCCTGGTAACCATTCTCCTGGAACCAAGAAAAAGAGAAGAGTGTTCTGTTAAATATTAAACATTTTCTCCTAGAATTAGAGTAATTTTCTAATTATTCTGCTTGCTGAATTCTACAGTCTCCCCAAGTTTTATAACAAAATCCCAAACCAATCTGAATTGCACAGAACATCCTAAATCATCTTGCCCCAAATGCTGTATGATTGTCAACTAGTGTAGCTATGCTTTCTTTGAAAATGCTCCCTTCCAACTGCATATTCTAATTATAATAACTTAATTATATAAATATTACATTTCAATACTCTATTGATGTACTATGGATTGAGGATATAATCCTGTAAAATTGAGATCAGTTTTACTGTCTCTCAATACTTTCATATATCACTGCTGCTCATTGAACTAGATTGGCATGGGACCAGGCTATTTGTCTCCTATCCCCATTGTTTCTGCCTGCTCCATCAAATCTAGCAGGGGTCTTCCCCATCAAAGAATGCCATCTTGTTAAGATGATTCTTGCAAGAGTCATGTATTTTCTGTGGATGTGCCTGATCTATGGAACAGAACCTACACAGAGACTTGGATGGTCCCAACCCTCTTAGCCATTTGTAAGCCTCTGAAGATCCAGCTGTTGCCCCATGTATTTGGGCACGCAATTAGATGAACTCTGTTGAAGTTGTGCCTTTTTTCTTTGGGGATTAATCAGGGTGTCATAGGTTTATATTGTTATGTGGTATTATGGTGCATTTAATTTTTATACACCATCCAAAGTCAGTGCTATTAGAAAATAAATAAAGAAATCTTGATACAATAGGTTCAAAATGGAAGATTTGACAGTTCTTATTTAAGTGACCTTGAGCCAGTCCTTAGGAAGAAGGCAGGAACAAATCACTTCTGAAAATCTTACCAAGAAAACTGCAGGGATTTGTTCAGTCAGTCATCAGAAATCAACACTGACTCAGTCACACATGTGCACACACAGAGAGACATAGATGTTTATATGTACCATTCACCATTACCTTCTACATCTTTTTGTCCTTGCAAATCATACTTGGTTTCACCCTGACCTCCTTCAAATATTGCTTTTTGTTCTTTAAATTTCTCCCAGTCTTACTGAGAATCTTACCAATTTCATTCATCTACATCTACATCTTCCTTGATCTTTTCCTTCTTGACGTATTTCTATTTATTTATCTGATTAGAGCAACCCACCTCACAATACATTTTATATATTCTGGTATCTTTCTCTTTTTGTGCAAGGGAATAACAGCATTCACCCAACTGTCAAGGAAGTTTTCAGACTTCTTAAACTAGTCACCCAATTATTGTATAAATAAACCAGATTCATATTTTAGCATTTCTTATATTTTACTCTATAGAGATGACTTGAAGGAGTCATTAGTGTTTTTAAGAATCAGGAGCATGTAATGTGTTACTCCAGAAAAGTCAAGACAATCTCCACGTATTTTCATTTTCTTACCTTTATTTTAAGACAGACTAAACTAAGATACCAACTGAGCTTGTAGTTATCTTCTATTTTTATAAAACATAAGTAAAAATTTAAGCCTGGATCCAGGACCACCAGGCCCACTTCAGATGAAGTACAGACCTGACATATATTATGATAATTGAAAGAACAAATCAAACATATCGTATATCATATCATATCATTATCTGAGATAATGTTCTTACCTCATGAACTTATAAATCAAATATATCTACCGTATTTTTCAGACTAAAGACACACTTTTTTGTCTCCTAAAAGGGGGCAAAAATGTCTGTGTGTCTTATAGACCAAATATTGGCAAAGCTCCGCCCGCCCACCATTTTTTGGCCTCCACATGCCCTGTTTTCAGACCTTTTTTTGGCCTTTTTCAGGCCCATTTTCAAGGCTTTCTTTGGCCTGTTTTCAAGGCTTTTTTGGCCCATTTTGGGGGTTTTTTCAGCCCATTTTCAGGGATTTTTTGGCCTGTTTTAGAGGCTTTTTGGGCCCGTTTATGAGGCTTTTGGGGCCTTTTTTTTGAAAAACGGGGCCAAAAACAGCCTCAAAAATGAGCTCAAAAATCCTCCAAAAGGGGCCAAAAAAAGCCTCAGAACCAGGCCACAAAAAAGCTTCAAAATGGGCCAAAAAAAGCCCCCAAAACTGGCCGAAAAAAGCCTCAAAACAGGCCCCAAAAGACTCAAAAATAGGTGAAAAAAGCCCCGGAAACAGGGCGAAAAGAGTCTGGAAAAGGACCAAAAAAAGGGAGGCCAAAAACTTTTTGTTGTTTTCCTCTTCTAAATTTAGGTGTGTCTTATAGTCAGGTGCCTCTTATAGTCCAAAAAATACAGTATATATTAGAAGCCAATATGAAAACAGGCTTGACAGAGGGAGATCCAGTTTCAAGTCCATTCTTATTTAGAGAGTTCATCAGATGATTACAAGACAATCATATTCTCTTAGTTCAACCAATAGGCTGTATTATGGAGATATTTCAAGGGGAGATTTGCCACTTTGAGTTTTCAGAAAAAAGATCCATTATAATTCATAAATTCCTTTAGTTATCTCTAACACTTAAATGGCAACTCAGTAAACTAAGCTCTCCCTCCCTCCTTAAGCAGTCCATAAGTCTGCAGTCTTCATTAAATGTAATACAAAATACTTACAGGTGGAGAAAGCTCTAGCAGGTCTTGTATTCTGTTCAATACATCTTCAATAAAAGGGTTCATTTGTTTACTAAAGCATAAGAATGTAAACCACATTACACACTTACAAATATGTTAAATAGTCAACAATAATCATATCACATTAGATTTTCATTAATGTGGAGATAAGAAAACCATGATTTATAACTATACCACTACAGTATGTATAGATTTCAAAATAATTTATCGTTGAAGAGACAGATAAATGATAAATTAATGATTTTGGTCTTTGGAGGTAAATATCAATCTTAAAAATTAAGATATGCTTCTATTATTTGTGCTGAAGAAACATCCTTCTGAGTGTATTTAACAGTCTCCTTTATGTACTAAACCCATCATATTCTATTCAGAATATTCATTTTTATTAAATGACTTGTCATTAAGCTTACTTGAGGGATTTGACAAATCTGGAAAAAAGGTATGCTATTCTGCTTCGTACTTTTGGATTAGTATGGCGAAGACCTCTGTGATCCAAGAATGCTATCTGCAATTAAAAGAGAACAATTTAGCCATTTGAATTTTTAACTAAGCAAAAGAGGCAAATTGATTAGTAAAATAATACTGAATATTATTATTAATTTTCAATATTATTCAATATTATTTTAAAAGAGAGATACGATATTATGGACAATTTCATAAATAAATAGCTATCTAGTATGAACTTACTAAAACATTCGGAATGTGCTGAGGTTCCAGAGAGAAAAATTTTTCATATCTGACCACAGTCTCAAAGAATTCCAGAGTTACTGATGTGTGTTGGTATGTGCTAATACCTGATGTAACCAACTAAAGAGAAAAGGAAAAGAGAAAAATGACTGAGTCAATTTTGTTGATATAAAAATTGTAAGAAAGTACACAGATTTTGATTCACACTTACAGTCCGCATCATATCTTGCAGAGCACTAGCTTTTGTATCACCTGTAAAGTGAGCACTATGAGATACTGGAAGAGCTTCAGCTAACATGTATAACAATCTTATTGCTACTTCTACTTCCATAAATGGTTTGGTTTGCCAATTCCTATAAGAAAAATTAGATAGAAAACAAATTAACAAAATATGACATTATTTTATGAATAATTTATTAGAATTCAGCTGAATTAAATATACCTATAAAAACATGAATGTTTCATCAACAGATAAATTAAGTATTAACAATTAATTTCTGGGATTATCAACTACCTCAACCTTCCCCAAACCTCTCTTCTATCTTTTGGACAAACTTTCTCCAAGTCACCAGTCATTGCTTATGGTGATAATGAATAAAATTTGAAATTTAATTGATTCATTTGGCATAAACTCTATATATTTTACTATAATATGCACTATGGAATATGAATATATTCATGAATATGAATATAGAATATAGAGGGAAGATTATTCAAGTATTTTTCTTGTGAACGAGAAGAAACTTAATTTGGCATTATATTATAATGAAATAAAATTTTCCTGTTTGTTATATGCAATCCTTTCCCCCCCACATTAAAATTCTGTGCTTGTGTTTTAAATTGCTAAGTGTTTTTGAAGCTGATACCACTTAATTCTTTCCAATTTACTAGCAAAGCACTTCTTTTTCTTTCTTCAGGAGAACACAGTGGAGACACAGTGGGAGAAAGATATTGCCTTTAACAAGTTTTTTCCCCCCTCAGGTTAATGAAACCAACAGACTTGCAAATGTATTAATAATTAACAAAGGATCTATTTAGCAAAAAAACCTATGAAATCCGTATCTACATTATAGTTCCAGTAATCAGATTTTGGCTACTAAAATGTAATCATTACCAGCCAACTGGAAAGCAGGTCTTAAGTATCAGTGGAAATTATCACTAAAAAGAAAGAAGCATTTACCTAATTACTAGAAATGAAAATTTCTATCAGAAATTCATTTGAAACTTACTGCAATGTAGTGTTAAAAACTCTGCGAACAGAAACTAGTAGTAATTCAGGTGAGACTTGTGCAAGTCTATCCAACAACAGTTTTAGCTGTTTCCGATATTCTACAAACATGGCTTCATCTTCACCCTGTCAACATAGATAGTATGAACAGATTAGTTCCATAATATACTAGCATTTGGATATTACAAGGCATTTCTTGCTAGATGATTAACAACATTAATAGATACATCGTCCTTGTTGCCTGCAATCTTATTATCTGTGAAAGTAGTCCTGCTAGATTGCAACTACATAAATGCCTTTATTATTATCACTCACTCTTACTACCTTTTGTCTCACTCTTGATTCCTGATGACTAGGTGGACAAGTCCACATACTTTTATTGACCACATTTTTTTTGTGCCCAAGGCAGGAAAGAACTCATGGTCTCCTGGTTTCCAGCCTGGTACCTTTAACCACTACACCAAAATGACTGTTGTTGTTCCTGTTCCTTTTATTGTTATTTTAAAGCAGGAACAGGAACTTGACCTCTTGTGCCATGCATACTGATGGAGTGGTGGGTGTGAAACAGAAGAAGAAAAGAATGCAAAGGATCAAATACTTCTCATTTCTAAAAAAACTCTTATGAAAATTATTCAAAAGTTTGTTTTAGATCAGAATGTTAAAATAAATAATTATCTACATCAAAGTTATTTTCACCTTTATGAGAAACATACTAATGAAAAAGTCATCGTTTTCAAGACTACTTACAAGCATACGCTAATCTAACTTCCCAAAAGAAAGCTTTACATATTATTGCTTCTAATTCCTGTTACTGGTCTTCATAAGCATTTGACAAGTCAGTCTATCTTAACAATGTCCTGAAATTCTGAACATTTTCAGTGACAAAACTGTATGCATATAGTTTTATTAATTTATAACATACAAAGAGAATACAAAAGCAAATATTAGAGAAATTAGGGAAGGAAAAAAGGAAGTGAATAGTGGGGGAAACGAAGGGAAAAAGAAAAAAAAGAATTGACTTCCAACTCCTTTGGTGCAGTTGAATAAGGCATTAAGATCTATGCTCAATTTTTTACTTTTTCATAATAATAGAAACTAGCCAACAACAAAACTGTATAGAATGTGGTACTGAGAGAGTTTTGCCCACCAGTGGAAACATACAATGTAAACCATTTAGTCCTAATCATTATTCTTGGTCAACTGTTGCATTCTTTAGAATCATTTGACAATGCTGGAGCACTGTTTTGCAATAGTCATTATCCATCTTGCTGAAATATTCAGTCTATTTTGGACAGGGCTACAATGCTTTGAAGAATGCTCCTTCATTCTCAGCTCTCTAGAATGACACTGGGAAAGATGGAGCAAAAGCACTAATGAGTCCAATGTGAACCTACAATGTGGTTATATTTTATTTTGGACCAGTGCAGCATAAGTTATAATGGGGTATCTCTGAAAAGTATCCAGATTAGTCCAAAACTACGATTTCTGGAGCTAGACGGCTAACTGGAATAAGAAACAGATACCACAAGAACTGAAATTGTCAATGAATTATTTAAGGGTGACTTCTAACCTCATTTTCAAAGTTGTATTCTTCATCATATGTTAATTTTTTCATTACTGCCAGCATAATTGCCTAGAAAGATAAATCAGTGATAAAATTATCATCTAATATAAGCTTCTATTTATTAAAATAATAAAAGCAGTGAGAAAGATTCAATAGAAATAATGCAGAGCAGAAGTAATTAAATATTGTTAAAGCAATCTGTATGTGCACTGTTTTATACTATACCAGTGATGGCTAACCTTTTTGCCGTCGCGTGCCAAAAGCAGGGGGAGTGTGGGGGGTCGCACACTCACGTGCCCACACCCATAATTCAATTCCTCCCCGTGCCCCATCTCCCCGCGCATGCGCACGTGAACCCCCCCACAGTCCCCCCCGCTTTTGGCACACAATGGCAAAAAGGTTACTGGTGGGCCTGATAGGCCCGTTTTTCACCCTCCCCAGGCTCCAGAGGTTTCCTGACTTCCAGTGGGCCCGGAAGGCCCGAAAACCAGCTGGCTGGCACACGCATGCATGCTGGAGCTGAGCTAGGGCAACGCTCATGTGCCCACAGATATGTCTCCACGTGCCACCTGTGGCACCCATGCCATAGGTTCGCCATCACGGTACTATACCATTAAAAATGCAAGAAAAGAAATAGTAATTTTAAGTGCAAGACATTCAGCTGCATAGAACTCAAAATAAACCCAGTTTAGCATTTGATTTATATATTTTTACTGAGCTGGTTTGGACATCAGAATAAATAATATTTTTTTTGAGAATAAATTTATCTTCCCCTCCGCTCCTGATCATTCTCTTCTATGCTACCCTTTCCCAGTAAGTAAACTTCCTCTTCTCCTCTCATAATGCCAAAAACTATGACTTGGAAGGGTTTTTTCCCCAATTAGTCATTGTGTTCAACTGGTGATGAAAGGACAGTGAAAGAAAATACCAGTTTTATCATATTATTAAAATGGTATGCAGTTACATTTTGGGGAAGGGGTCCTCCTTTACATTAAAGAACATATAATAATTTCATGGCTTGTTGGTAAAAAAGTTATTATAAGAATTTAAATAACTTTGGGGATTATTTCATTTTTTAATTTACAATTTTAATGTTAAAATATGTTTGCTTTAATGCAAATCTGAAATGGCTTCCCATGGCAGTTTTATTGACTAGTAAAACAAAAAGCTTCAAAAAGGCATTTCATTATTCTTACCTCTACATTAGCTTTTTGTTGTTCTGAAAGCACAGGGAGCTACAAAATAAAAGAAACAAAGCCTAGTTTTGAAATGTCTCAAACAATGTACATATATTAATGCTGAAAAGGTTGAGGAAAAAATTTCAGAATGCAAAATTTCATAAATTTACCTGTTTCAATATGTGCAGATAATCATAACAAAACCCTATTATATTTGAAGATATATCATCATCTTCATGAATCAAAAGTTGTAGCATTAGAGCCACTTTTGCTTCAATTGCTTGTAGACTATCTTGAGCATTTTTCAAATCTCCAATCTTCACAAGTTTAGACCAGCTAGCTATCAATGCCTGCCCCATTCCATTTATCAGTTTAGAGAATCTAGCTAGAAAATCTACATCTTCTTCCTGTAAAGATTAAACATTAATTAAACACTTTTAAAGAAAAATGAACAATTTGAGACACATATTATATCCCTGTAAAAATTAAAATCTCCATGATGGATACTGTTATAGTACATTACTAGGGATCAAAATGATCACTTAGCAATACTGGTTGCACTTACTAGATGAAATGGCAATAAATAAAATCTGTTAGTGTTGTTATTGTTATTTTCTCTCTCTCTCTCTGCCTCCCTCCCTCTCTCTCTCTCTCTCTCTCTCACACACACACACACACACACACACGTCAGCATGTGAAAATGCAAAAATTTAAACACCCCACCCCCACCCAAATCTATTCAGCTGATAAGCTTATAAAATTATACAATATGGAAAAACCACAGATGGAGTATTATACACTGAAGCTGGATAATAGGAATCTTACCACAGATGAAAAGAAATGCTTTATCATATAAGCACAGTTAAACTACTTGGTTAGCTGCTATAAAATGCAGTTTAGAGCAAACAACACAAATTACTTTTACAAGTATTGAAGACACGAACAGTTATACAAATCACAGTAATGTAACATTTCTTTCACTAAAAATAACTGACCTGATCAACTATAAATAGGCCAGCAGACTGCAAAACTTGACACAAAGTTTCTACCAACTTAGTTTTATCAATTGGATCCATTCCCTTATTTACAATTTCAAACAAGCAGTCACATGCTTCCTCTCGTAAAACTTCTATGGACATGTGACCTAGCAGCATATTTATAAACCTAAAAAAAAAAAAAAGACAAAAATTTTGCTTTCTGGGTAAAAACAGAAATTGACAGTAAATTTTACTTTATCAGCCTATGCTTATATTCTTGTATATGAAATACAAAAGCTATATGCATTAGTGTAAGTGAAACCTCATTTTAACAATCCTCATTTACCAGAGTCACATATACATAATCAAGTCCATTGCACTGAGATGGTCTGGACAAGATAGTTAAATTTAGATCTACTTTAACTTTACATCTGTGTCAATTTATGCTATTTGTATAATAACATGCAAATAACATAAAATGGTATTATTATAGTGTTGTAAATTGCCACAGTGAGATACTGTTATATTTAACAGATATTCAAAAATAATAGACAATCTCCTCAAAAATAGCCCTTTAAAATTAGGTTTCACTGTATTTGCAAGCCAGCTAACAATTATTTTTAAAGTGGCTAATTTTCCAAACAATTTACAAAAAAGACTTTTTTTTAATGATGGTTACCCTAAAATTTCACTACAGTTTTATTACACAGTAGGTTCATTAGTGAATTTTGAATCAATAACAGCATTACCTTTCATTTGCAATTAGACTCAAATCTATCCAAGAGACATATGCTCCTACTACTTCAAGGCACTGACATGTCAATTCTGAATTTGTATACTGATATGTTTGCAAGATTTGATACCATGATTCAACCAAACTTGGAATGCATTGCTCCCTCATAGTATCCTTTAGTAGAGTATTTCTGCGAGCCTCCTATAGATATAATAAGGATGTTAGTCTTCAAAAGTAAAAACTGAGATTCCTGTTCTTTGAAAATTGAAAACGTTGGGAAAGTTAATAGTAGCAGTAATCTAATATTCATCATAAAATGCATCTGTATGGTTGATGTCTCTTCATCACTACTCTGTAATTTCAAATGTTTAATATTTCAAACTTTGTATGACATGTTGCTTAAATGTTTTTAAAATCACATATTAGGGATGAAATGCATTTTTAAAACAATTTCTAAGAGTAGTCTGTGCATATAAAAGAGAGGAAGTCTAAAACTCCCTTCTTGGGGCCTCATGCCAAACACATAGGCTTGAGTCAATTTCCCAATGTGGCCTTACCCAAGAGCAGCATTGCTGGGATAGATTATCAAGGAGCTCTGGTATTGATTGGTTAACTGTACTCACAGCCCCAACAATCTTTACATTCCTTCTCCACCATGCTCTATGCTTTTTCGTATCTCTTACTTTTTTTAACTGCCTGCCCTGCTTGCAGTTGGGGTTTTTTTATATTCTCCCTTAACTCATGCCTCCATGTTTCTGAATATCTTTCTCTCCCTGCCTTGCTTTCCTTTGCTTTCTCATTCCTTCTGCCTTTTAATTCTCTGACACATTTCATCAACCTGTGCTTACCAATCTTTTTTTCTCTTGCTGCTGAAGCCTGTAAATCTCTGTATTATTTGTGTCCGACTGTCTCTGTATATGTATGCATTACCTTTTGCTTTAAAGCATGTGAGTAGGAGTCTCCATCTATCTATTATGTTATGTTTGACTGATGCAATCTATGCATTTGGTGAATCTAAGTGAATTAGTTTGTCTTTCTGTCCCTTCTCTTGTATGCCCTTTTATTTATGTTTTGTTTGTTTGTTTGTTTGTTTGTTTTTGTCAAATAAGTATAAGATAACAGATATAAGCATAAACATGATTATGAATACAGGATAAGGATATGAATAAATGGGGACAGTAGGACAGGGACGGTAGGCACGTTTGTGCACTTATGCATGCCCCTTACAGACTTCTTAGGAATGGGGTGAGGTCAACAGTAGACAGTCTAAGGTTAAAGTTATGGGGGTTTGGGGAAGTAACCACAGAGTCAGGCAGTACATTACAGGCATTGACCACTCTGTTGCTGAAGTCGTATTTTCTTCAATCAAGTTTGGAGTGGTTTACCTTAAGTTCTATCTATTGTATATCTATTATGCGCTTGTGTATTATTGCGGTTGAAGCTGAAGTAGTCATTGACAGGTAGGACATTGTAGCAGATAATTTTGTGTGCTACACTTAGGTCAGACCAAAGGTGGCGTAGTTCTAAGTTATGTATACTTATAAGTTATGTATACTTTTTACTTTATTGCACTGTGTATATTTTTATTTCTGGTTGGGGTGTGTGTGTTACATTTTAGTACATGTGACAATGTATTTGTAGTTCTATGTGGCTGAACTGCAGAATGTTTACATTTTTGCCTGCATCATTTCTTTTTCATTTATTTACTCTAATCAATTTGTATGCTGTCTTAATCATTTACCTAACATTAGACAACTTACATATTAAAAAACATAGAATTTCTTTGTAATAATCAGTATTACTATCAATATATGTCAGATATCGCTACATCAGGTACAATTGTAAGAACTGACTTTGAATGGACTGAGGATCTCTTGTGTTTCTCCCTATAGAATTATTATAGCAGATGGAATGTAAGGAGGCTGAAATGATTCATAACTGCATTAGGCAAAATTTCATCAGAGGTATTTTTAACAAGTGACTTTAGAAGCTAAATCTTCTTTTCTGCCCATTGTTAACTGAAAGACCAATGTGAACTGTGAATGTAGGAACAATGGTTTCTAAATCCGTAATGACCTGTACAACTGAACCAAGCCTTAACAGCTTCTGTGGTTCAACACATAAAACATTTTTTTCAGTTTCCTCCGTTTTTAAAGTAAAAATTAAAACATTTTCTATCATCTAAAATTTAACAATTATTTCTATTATACATATGACCATGAGCTCATATTGTATCATGAGCTCTACTGCAGTTTTTCCCAACCTAATGTTCTGCAAGTGTGTCAGGACTTAAATTTCTTGAGTTCCTCAGCTAGCACAAAAATTCTGAAAACATTCCAGTACATCTGGATAGTACCAGGTTGAGACAGACATTTCTAGAGTTTCTAAATATGCCATTTTTTAAGACATGGCTTCTAAACCTGCCTTGTTTACAAAACAGTTGATTATGAAATGGTCACCAAAAACCAACTTATTATGTCAAGTTTGTTGCATAACATTTAGATCAATGGGCACATTTATTTTATAAAAAAGGAACTTACCTCTGAGGTATGAACAACATCCCTATCTACCAGTTCAGCATCAACTGCCATAAGAATTCTGAGATAAAGGTCCACACCTCGAGGATTCAGGCCTACCACAGACAGAATATCAAAGAAAAACTTGGGCCATTTTGTAAGATATTCTGTAACAAACAGCAAAGCAAAGACCTGAGCTGCTTTGTTTCGTATAAATGTCTTCTCTGACTGAGAATTCACCATCTGGAAAAAAAATGTATTTTTATCATTTTTCAAGATATGATCATATATGAAATAAGCAGTTATATTTTTAAAGATAAAATAATCTATTTGGAAAATTATTGAAGTACATGGTAAATAATAATAAATTATATGAGAAAAACTTACCTGTGCCTGTAGCCATGTTACCAGTGTTTCCCTAATTAGCTGTTGCTGTACTTCACTTAGTTGAGAACACCTGAAACAGAGCATTAATATTAAAATATTTACAAACATTTCAGAGAAACATTCCTGCAGAAGCTTCCAGTATCCTGTTGGCTACATAAGGTTTTGGGTTTTTAAATACAACTGCTATAGATAGGAATGTTTGCATTAGAAGATTACACAGGAGTTGAATATGTAAAATAAAATACAGAAACAGAAACAAGTAATTTGATTTACATATGCATACTTATATGTGTATGTTTACATGCACACATGCTAATATATAGTTCCTCTTAAATTTCTCCCACCTCCAATCCAGACCCATACAAAAATTGTGAATTTGGAAAGGACTGCAAATATTATCTACTTGAACCTTTCATAAATATAAAGCAAGTATCTCACTTGTATTTAATTTGATGTTCCAAAACTTGAAAGCAGAAGAACTTGATGTGATCATCACTGAAATAGAAAAAACAATCTAATAAATCTGGGATGAAATTGTTTATTTGATGTTTTATCTGAAGATGGTTGGGATAGGAATCTAGTCACTGATTAAAATTTTGCTTTCTTTATAATTGTAATAGTACACAAATATAAAATTATATGTACGTATGTATTCATTTACTGATTTCACTTACATTCTGCTCTTCATTTGAAAACCTAAATTGATATCTGGGTTCAAGGCGATCTCCTTTTAAATAACAAAATTGCATACCTTTTGCAGCAGTAATCATTGTTCCAAACCATTTTTGGTTTAATGACAGGTTACAAAATTTAGCTATAACTACTACAAACTAGACATTGCTTCTGACACTACAGGCAAAGTAGTAAAATGTTATTAAAAATAGTCCAATTCAAGCAAGAGATTTTACAAGCAAGACAAACTAGAGATTATGGGCATTCAATTCATATTACAACACAGGTTATGTTCAGCTGTCAGAAAATGGCTATTCAAACTCTAGCATGAGTGAATTAATTAATTTCTCCTAAAACATCTAAGAGATTGCTAAATCTGTTAAGAGACAGAAACATATTTGAACATGTAGGTTATGTTATGGCCATGCTGCTACAATATCTGTTTAGACTAATAGCAGATTAGTTTGTTAGACTAATAACAGATCAACCTTTGGCTTGGATCCATACATGTAAAAGGAGAAAATGCAGTATTCAGTGGCATAGAATAACTTTTAACTGAAAACACTAAATATAGCAGCCTATGTGCAAATCACAAATACCATACATAATCCAGGTTTTTGCTAATTTAACAGTTCTTTCCACTATAATCCTAGCCCCTAAAGTTAAACAAAGCTATGTGAAGAACTCTGGAGGGCTGACAAACTTCCTGAAAAACAGAAGAGAATTCAGCTTCCTTTAGTTTCACTATTTGTGTTGATCACGATATAACCACATAAAACAATAATAGAGCTGGTTGCTTGAAATTTATATTTACAATTATTGTATATGAGTAGTATTTCTACTTCATATGCAATTTCAATATGACTACAAAAATATAAACTAATCACAGATGTCTAGCTGTTATGAATCAAGGGGTCCTTGGTGTTCTCTGAGTTTGGTTGTTTTCTTGCAGACATTTCATTACCCAAAATAGGCAACATCAGCAGTGTTAATGATGCTACCTAGTTTGGGTAATGAAATGTCTGCAAGAAAACCAAGCTCAGAGAGCACCAAGGACCCCTTATTTCAATCCTGAACTACAAATATTCCCCTTTACTGCTACTATTATGAATTATATGGTATGTGAGAATGGCACTTACGCAATACATTATCTCTTATCATTCTACTGAAGAAAAGAAACAACTTAAATTTTGTTACCTGTAGATTCTTTGGGCTAAAGCTTCAGCACACACTTGCCAAGCATCAGGAGATATCTTCAACTGTTCAAAATAGGCCAATGCCTGAAATTATTTTTAACATATATATATATTTAATAAACAGATATTGGCATAATAAAAATAGCTGTTCTGATTCTCTACAACTTGAAATAAAGAAAATTTAAGAAGCCTTATTATTTTAATCAGTGCAAAGTTGCTAAAGGAATAGGGGAAATCTGAGAGAAAGTAAGTGAAGTAGAGGTCTGAGGAATAGCACTTTGATAGAAAACTGGAAAAAAAAAGAGAAGCAGGGGGAAAAGAAAATCTCATGCCCAATAGAATTAAATATTAATGATAAAAAGCACAGAAAAAAACAAGATATTTGACTATGTGAAGGCTTAAAAATGAGTGGAAAGCCTGACCTCTATTCTCTCTATCATCCATATTGTCATTTGTGAGATCTGTTTACAATTCCTTAAATATGAATAGGTCTTCATATGATCAAGAATGCTGCAAATAGTGCAGGAAGGTATATTTGCAGACCAACAAATATAAGGGTATCTCCCTTTTTCATTTTCTAATCAAACATGGGGAGGTGAGAAAGAACATTGGTTACAACTATGATCACTATCTATCCCCTCACATATTTTGATGAAAACCTGAGGGTTATTATTAATTTAATATTATTTTTTTTTTTTTATTTGATTTATATGCCGCCCTTCTCCGGAGACTCAGGGCGGCTTACAATGCGTTAAGCAATAGCCTTCATTCTTTTGTATGTTTTATACAAAGTCAGCTTATTGCCCCCACAAACTGGGTCCTCATTTCACCTACCTTAGAAAGGATGGAAGGCTGAGTCAACCTTGAGCCTTGGAGAGATTCGAACCAGCAGAAATTGCAGGCAGCTGTGTTAATTACAGGGTGCACTAAACCCCTGTACTATCAAGGCTCTTTAATTTAATTTAATGCAGGAGTTGGCAAATGTCTTCCTATTGTGAATCAAGTCCCCTCCATGATAATCTGCTGGGGATCATATGGCAAATGGCACTAATCCCAAGACAGAGAGGGATCCAAAACAAAAAGTGTGTGGAAAAACTCACTCTCTATTAAACACATATTTTAAATTTTTTGACATCATCATCTGCTTCTCAAAAAAACCCATACTGCCAGTTTAACTTAATCCCATACTACCCATATCCTAGCTGGACTTTGAGGGATAGAGAAGAATACCCAGGTCACAAAAGAAAATAAACCAAAAAGAAAAAGGACAAAATTGGGTTGGTGATGACAATGCAGTAATATAAACATAATGTTGTAAAAAAAATAGGAATGTATGGATGAGAGAGGAAGGATCTCTCAAGATAAATATGTTAAGAAACAGGTGACCAGGACTATGAAAGCACTTGGTGAAATCTTTACAGAGCAATGAAATGGTAAGGACTGGTTTAGAGAATCATGAACTAGAGATGAAAAGATCTTGATAAATGTTATATAGCTTTAAAAAACAGTCATATCTTGGCTATGTCAGAAATATTTATAGCAAGCTGAAATTAAAGTGCTCTTCTTACTGAACGTCTTATAAAAACAAAAATTATGAGAAAAGCATAATTAAACTTACTCGCTGCCTGAAATCTAAATCAGCATTTGGATTTAATCCTAGAAGAGCTTGCTCATCCATTTCTGCTGCTATTCTCCAGCTTCTTTAACAGGATTATCCCATTCATACACAATCAGAGATACAAACATCTATGGATGAAATAAAATTAAGATGGTAAATTAAAGCCAAGGTTTAAAAGTAATTTTGTCTCAATGTAGATGAACTACATCTTCAACAAAAAGATCAGATATCAGAAAATCTTACAGCCCAGGACATCTGGAAACCTGAAACAGTCAACAGTCAACAGCTAGGCAAGATTTAAAAAATATTCTAACCAGATATGAAGCAAAATAAAAGTATCATTCTCCTATGTTGTTAGTAAAGGTATAGACAATGTTCTTAGCCACTAGTCTCCCTGCAGATACCTCTCATGGTACCTGGTGTAATTAATTTTTAACATACAATTTTAAATATAATAAACAAAACAGAAAGCAGACATATTGCAAAGCAAAGCAACAGAATCATATTTATTTCTAAGATTCCATCTGGCTACCACAGGTATTATTAGAAAGTGCAAACCATGAATACAGTTCTATGATTTTTTTCTGCAGACTTACCAAGAAAAAATAGAAAGGATAACTTGGGAAATACAAAGCATGCTGGGAAGATAGATGAAGTCATAGGAATTAGCCATTACTTTGCCTTCAAGAGAATGTGTTTTGTAACTGAACAAAAGGAATCCCAAAGATGCTTTTTCAGGAGGCAACTGGACTTTGTTTTTTCTTTTGAAGACGTTTCGCTTCTCATTCACTTCTCATTCGAGAAGCTTCTTCAGCTCTGACAGGATAGTGGGGAATGGAAGCATCCTTTTAGAGCAGTGGTTCTCAACCTTCCTAATTCCGCGACCCTTTAATACAGTTCCTCATGCTGTGGTGACCCCCAACCATAAAGTTATTCCTAAAACCATCGAAAAGATGTGTTTTCCAATGGCCTTAGGCCAGGGGTCCCCAACCTTTTGGACCTCAGGGACCACCAAGTTCATAATTTTAAATTTCGTGGACCACTAATACGAATCCAGTGCGCCGCTTGCTGAAGCACCTGGACTCCCAATGACGGGATGGGGTCCTTCAGGCACTCTCCCTCCTCCCTCTCTCTCTCTCTCTCTCTCTCTCTCCCACTCTTTCTCTCTCTCATTTTCTCTTTCTCGCTCTCCCCCTCTCTTTCTCTCTCCCACTCTTTCTCTCTCATTCTCTTTCCCCCTTTCTCTCCCCCCTCATTCTCCTTCTCTCCCCCCTCTCATTCTCTTTCTCTCTCTCTCCCACTCTTTCTCTCTCATTCTTTCTCCCCCTTTCTCTCTCTCCCCAATTCTTTCTCTCCCCACTCTTTCTTTCTTTTTCTCTCCCCCCTCTCTCCCTCCCATTCTTTCTCTTTCTCTCTCCCACTTTCTCTCTCTCCCCCTCTCTCATTCTGATTCTCTTTCATTTTCTCTCTCTTTCTGATTCTCTCTTTCATTCTCTCTCCCTCTCTCTCTCTCTGATTCTCTCTGTCTCTTTCTCTCACTCTCTTTCATTGTCTTTCTCTTTCATTCTTTGTTTCTTTCTCTGTCTCATTCTGATTCTCTCTCTTTCTCTCTCTCTCTCATTCTCTCTTTCATTCTTTGTCTCTTTCTCTCTCTGTCTCATTCTGATTCTCTCTCTCTCTCTCATCTCATGGGCCAGCCAGTGTCTTGGGGCTGAGAGGAAGTCAAGCATCTCCCTGAGAGACCGAGGGCCGGAAGAAGCATGGGAGCGAAGCACTACTTGAACTTGTGCAGCATGAGCATTCGCCTTGGTATATTTGCGCCAGCCAGTGGCCAAGGCAGCCCTCATCTCCCCGCTGAAAGTGCGGCATCAGGATTCCGCCTTGATATATTTGCGGCACAAGGCAGCCCTCATCTCCTGCCGCTTGGGACTCAGAGCGGTAAACGGTGACTGGTCCGGGGAGCAGCTGGATTTTGCTCTCCATTGCGAACGCCAGATCGGCCCCCTGCAAGCTCTCGTCTCTTGAGGAGCGCTCCCTGAAGCGGCGCTGGAAACTTTGGTCGGGCTCTTCGAGAGACGAGAGCTTGCAGGGGGCCAATCTGGTGTCTGCAATGGAAAGCAAAATCCAGCTTCTTCTCTCTGCTTTAAGTGCGGCATCAGGATTCCGCCTTGGTATATTTGCTGCGCAAGGCAGCCTTCGTTTCCTGCCGCTTGGGACTCGGAGCGTAAACAGCGTCTGGTTCAGGGAGCAGCCGGATTTTGCTCTCCATTGCAGACACCAGGTCGGTCCCCTGCAAGCTCTCGTCTCTCGAAGAGCCCGACCAAAGTTTCCAGCCCCGCTTCAGGGAGCACTCCTCGAGAGACGAGAGCTTGCAAGGGGCCGATCTGGCATCCGGATTAGAGAGCAAAATCCGGCTGCTCCCCGGATCAGACGCCATTTACCACTCTGAGTCCCAAGCGACAGGAGAGGAGGGCTGCCTTGCGCCACTGGCTGGCACAAATATACCGAGGTGGAATGCTATTGCCGTGCAAATGAAAGTAGTGCTTCGCTCCTGCAGCTTCCAGCCATTGCAAACGCCACTTCTTCCCACTTCTGCCGCCCTCTCCCCCACCACCACAACAGCACCATTCATTCTGGATGGTGAGGGCTGCACTCCTTTTTCTGTATTGCATCACCTGCAAAAATGCAAAAATACGAAAATTTCTCCACAGACCATCAAAGGACCACCGGTTGGTGACCACTGTCTTAGGCGACCCCTGTGAAAGGGTTGTTCGACCCCCAAAGGGGTCACGACCCACAGGTTGAGAACCACTGAGACGGTAGAACTACAGTCCTGTAGACTACAGGAACCAGGAGCACTACTCAGGTGACCCTGAGGACACAGCTAAACCTCCAAGTGCTTCAAGGATCCTCTAAAAGGATGCAGATTACCAGCTGTCTGCAAGGAATATAAATGCTTCCATTCCCCACTATCCTGTCAGAGCTGAAGAAGCTTCTTGAATAAGAAGTGAAACATCTTCAAAAGAAAAAACAAGGAAGTCCAGTTCCCTCCTGAAAAAGCACCTTTGGGACAACCATGACCTGAATGAATGAGAATCTCTACAGACTGAACAAAAGAAACTTTGAATCTTAATCTGATAATGAGATCTGTTGAATACAATATGAAGATCTTATATTTTAGTGATATAACTATTTAAAACATTAGTAAGTAATAGAAATTTATGAATAACCCTTGGAAGATGAGAAATATTTTGGATGCTGTGAATTCTTTGCAATAGTGACAGGGCTGGTAAGGAGTAGAGCAAGAGCTCACATATATAAATCCTTTCTTATTCACACATCTCTCTAGCCTCCAACCCTGACAACAATCCAAATGCAAGTGCTGATAGTCCTTAACTTATGACCACAATTGGAATCACAATTTTGATAGTTAAGTGATACAACCATTTTCTTAGGGTCTTAAAGAAAAATCAGGTGGAACACCGATTGATGACTTCAGTCTACGATAGAAAACATATTGTGTTATGGTATGGTATGCTAGCTTGACAGTCACGGACAGAAAGGCATTATAGAGGGTGATGAGCACAGCACAAAGAATTATGGGCTGTCCCGACACCACTGGACAATATCGCCAGGACCTGCTGCCTCAACAGAGTGAGGAAAATCCTCAGGGATGATTCACACCCTGGTCAGCACTTCTTTACTCTCCTACCTCATAGCCAGATAACAAACAGACTGAAAAATAGCTTTTATCCGTGGGCTGTCAGACTTCTGAATGCAACATAACATCACAATTAGGTTTAATATGACAGACTTGCAGGGCCAGTGCAATGGACAACATGTTCATACCGATGTAATATAATATAATGTTATATACATATAGGTATACGGGAGTGTGTGTTAGTTATTACTTATTTGGGTTTAGGGATTCTATTTCTTTCATTTATTGAGTTATTGAGATGTATTTTGTGTTTCGGGGAGGGGCTGCATCAAGAGAGGCTGTTTTAATTTCATTGTACATATGTTGTGCATTGACAATAAAGGTTTGATTTGATTAAGTAAGCCATCATGTTACCAAACCCAATTTTACAACCATTTCTACCATGGTGGTTAAGTGAATCATGTGATTAGGTGCAGTTCCCAAGTGCGTGCTCCCAACTGACTTTGCTCATCAGGAGCCTGCTGAGATTGCAATTTTGTGACTACAAGATGCTTCAACATCTTGTAAACGCGAGCCAAGTGCCTGAATTGCAATCATATATTGTGTATGTGTGTATACACACATGCTCATCCAGCTGTTATAACTACGACGAAAGGTAATACGTCACCTTTTCAAAGGTCATCATAACTTCAACTATCATTAAATGAACAGTCATAAGTTGAGGAATATCTGTAGAAAGCAGCAACTGGCTGACATACCAACTTTTAATCAGATTTTCAGGGGAAGGAGATTTATTTACCCATATTCCTATGCCATCTTTTAGGGTCCAGCCTGTTTCAAAGAGGCATATAACTTAAAATTCAGCACAGGTATTGATAAAACATCAAATCAATGGTATTAATTACCTTTAATGAAAAATAGGAGAAAGCAAAAAGATGTTCAAAACTATTTTAAAAACTGATAAATAAGCCAAATAAACATATGAGAATTCCGTATACCAATCTATTAAAAGGATGAATATAAATGACAATCCTGCCAACAATGTTAATTCAGAAGGTGAGAAACTAAGGAGGACACTTGACCTAAAATGAATGTGACACAACAGAACTCTCTAGGCACCTGTGCCCTGAAATATAATTCAGTAGAATTCTGTAATAATTGTTCTCAGATATGGAAATATAAGATTGTAACCTGAGTTGTAACCGTGTGATGAGTCACGTAAGTGCAAATGCATTTACTGCAATTATATCCACTTTATTAAAGAACACAATAGTTTAGTTTGTATAGATTAAGCTTCTTAATCAAGACATATTGCCTACTATTGTCATACACGTTTTTCAACAGTCACCCAACACCTTCATAAATTTCTCTCTCTGAGTAGAAAATGAATGCATGAGCTCTCTTTCTTCTTAAAAAAATCTGGCAAAGAGCTTTGCAGTTCATGTGAAGACTATGTAACCAACCAATGGAGAAACAGATAAAACTTGAATACTATCTGGAAAATGTTCTCAGAGTTGAACCGCCTCTACTGATTCAGTTTTCTGTAGGTTTTAAATCAGGGGTCCTCAAACTTGGCAGCTTTAAGACTTGTGGACTTCAACTCCCAGAATTGGAGTTGAAGTCCCCAAGTCTTTAAGCTGCCAAGTTTAAAGACCACTGTTCTAAATGGTCGCAAAGAGAGGATTTGTCATGCTTTTTTTTAGCTCCTTGCCTCTGGTCTCTGGGTCACCACTGCTATTGAAGAGAATGAAGGAACATTTAAATGCTCACCTAAGTTTCATAAGTTATCAGGAGGTTTTTTAAAAATCCTACCATTTACTGGTGCTTCAAGTTGATCTGAAAGGAAGGGTAGGGGCAGGAAAATCCTAAAAATGCAATATTGTCTGTATTAAAATAAATGCAAAGGGATTCTAAAACTCAACAACAACAAAAACACCAACTTATTTCGGTACTACCGTGTTTCCCTGAAAATAACACCCTGTCTTATATTTTTTTGAACCCCAAAATAAGCACTTGGCCTTATTTTCAGGGAGGTCTTATTATTTTGGGGTGCATGGAGCAAGATGGGGCTCCTCTTGCCGTCTTACCAGATTTCCAGCTCTGCGTTTAAATATTTTCAGGCTAATATAAATATTTTCAGGAAGGCTTATTTTTTGGGGGGGTCTTATTTTAGCACATGCGCTCAAAAGCCCGATTGGGCTTATTATCAGGGGATGTCTTATTTTCAGGGAAATAGGGTATAAACAATAAACTCAAATCATCTAGATCACGGGTGTCAAACTCAGGTCATCACATGACGTATCAGGACTTTTTTCACCTTCACTAAACCGGGCATGGGCGTGGCCAGCACGTAACGCATCCGGCGCATGGGCCATGAGTTTGACAGCCCTGATCTAGAGAATGGTATAGTCAGCCCCTTGTCTGAAGTTTGCATACAATGCTCATTGATATAAATTACAGCATTTGTTCTGTGGGAAGCTCTGTGGGCTTTCCAGTGGTCCATTGGCTTGTTGGAATTAGATCATTGATTTTCTGCTGCCAATGATAACAGAAAATTAGCAATCACCATTGAGCTGATAGGAGGAAGAAAGAGAAAGTGATGAGACATATATGTGAATTACAATGAATAAAGAAATTCCAACCTATCTTCTAAAGCAGGGGTTCCCAGCCTGCGATATTCCAAGGGGTTGCGAAAACTTGGGTTTAGAAGTTTCAAAGTTATAATGTATATGCATAATTATATGCAAATTATATGCATATGATTATTTTTGTAAGGGATGCAAGAATATATCAGAAGCGTTCTAGCGGTGTGGGGTATAGAAAAGGTTGGGAACCCCTGCTCTAAAGATTCAACTAGGATAGTTGTTCCATTTATATTATTGCTGGGTCAACACTTCAAATTAGTTATTGTATAATGTGGTTTGTTTGTTTTTTGAAAACCCATGTGCTATAACTGTAAACCATTATTTATCACTTATAATTTGTGAATCATTGAATTATGAATTATCAATCAATGATTGAACAAATTATAATTTATTGTAGTTGAGGAACTACAATAAACTATATGTACATCTACAATAAACTATATGAACATCACCAATGGCAGAATGCTTGTTAAATATAAAAGTACAATTTATTATTGTACTTTTTATCAATTTGCAAATTGTCATTGTAAATAAAGTAATATGTAACAGATTTGTTTTTCTTACAACATTTCATTATCTTAACTTCACTATTTACAATCTTCTCAAAATGACAAGTTTGTATATATTAGATTATGTGATTGATGAAGTGGACTGTAATGTCATAAAATTTTTGTCATAATAAATTAGTCCATTACCATAAATCTCTTTGATTTTCTATGATTCATTCATACATGCAAGTTATTGCTAATGTAGATGTAGATAAGAGTAGAAAAAGAGTTTTGTTGTTCTATTTGAAAATATCACTGCTCTGTTGGGTGAACAAGGATGACCAGGAACTGAGGCGAGACAGGTTGAGGTAAATTTTAAAGCCTTTATTGGTTTAACAGCTAACCAGAATAACAAGGCAACTCTGAACCGGCAACAGGCAACTCTCCATCTGACAATTCTTTATATAGCAGCAGTCAGATGCTTTAGCCAATCGCGGGGCTTCATTCTCCCGCTGAAAAGCAATTGCAGTTCAGCCAATAGGGGGAAGCGCTCGCGCCACCATGGCGTAAGCCCGAAGACACAACAATCACCAAGAAAAACTTATATTTAAAAGTATCTATTAGTACATTGCAGCTATATTCTAGATCAGTGATAGCGAACCTTTTCGGCATTGAGTGCCCAAACTGGAGCACACACGTGCATGGGCACACACTCACTGGAGCGCCGGAAACCCGAAGACCAGCTGGCCGGTGCACGCATGCGCACCAGCCAGCTGGTCTTCAGGTTTTCGGTGCTCCAGTGCACATAATGGCTGGCATGCATGCCGGAAACCAGAAGAGCAGCTGGCAACGGCACACATGCCCACAGAGAGGGCTCTGCATACCACCTCTGGCACACGTGCCATAGGTTCACCACCATGGTTCTAGATTATGATATGTGAGCAACAGGATATTAGCTTCAACAGTACTGAATAGATTAGATAACTACTTTGCATAAAATAGGACAATGATGCTTGGTGTGTGACAGATTGGTCAAAATGTGTTCAGAATTATTCTTACAGTTAGCAGGAATGCTGCATGTAGCACAGATACCACTAAGGCTGGTAATTAGGTCTCACCTTCTCTATTTTACTGAAAGGCATGATGTTAAATCCTTAATTGATAAAACCATTAGGGACATCAAATATCTTTGAGCCAATCTAATAACAATGATCACACATAGAAGATTCAGTTTTGGAATACAAGAGGAGTAAATAATAAAAGTAATGCTTGTGGCAACACCAGAGGAATATTAGGATGTGAATGAACATGCATTTCTGTAGACATTGGCAGGGTTGTTGGCTAATATTTGAATAATTTACAGTGACTTTTAGATAAGCATATTTATTACTTCTTGAACTGCTATCTTATTTTGTATATTCCTATTCACCATTTGGCTGAACTATCATAAAATGACTTGCATATATATTATTTTAAACAATGCTTTTCATTGTCAATTCAGGATAAACATGGGCATAAATTTATCACGAAATAAAGTTGATTGCCAATTAAGGTAGGTGACCCAAGAAGAAAGCAACAGAAGAATATGAGACAGAAACTACGTTTCAGTTACCAAGTAAAAGAAAAATCTGTTTTCCATTATAATGCACAAATAAGTTATTTTCCCCATAACACCTTCTGGTATTGGTAGTGATAAAAGTGAGCTGATCAATGGGGAACTGATGCATGGCTATTCGACATAGGTCTCTTCTTCAAACGCAAATTTTTCAAAGGATTTGAGATAACTTAATTATACTTTCCAGGCAGCTGGCTAAGAATTTTGGGAACTAAGAAGCCAGAACCTTAATAGAGCCCCAAGTTGAGCAGTGCCAGAAAATACTTTAGCAGATGCGGCACGGGACGAAATGAAGGGCAATGAGGCATGGGCCAAGGGACAGGAGGTAATCTATGCGGCTTTAGGTTAGTAAGGCCCTAAGAGAAGGGGGATCCATCCCCGAAGAGCACAACCTCCAAGCTTGATCACTGGACTTGGAACACGAGGCGGCCACGCCACTGCATCATGGGGCCTCCCGGGCCAAGCGATTTCTCCTTTCTGCATTTAAAGAAAAGTTAGAGCGCATCCCCTCCCGAATTTGCAAATACGGCCACCCTGGAAGCGCACTCAGCCCTCCAACAGCCCCCGTTCCCATTTCATTACCTTCCCAGCTATTCCATTAAGGAGGGCTTGTGCCTTCTCGCACTATTGGGAGGCCGCTTCAAAGCAGGGGCCCGGGCAGAGGAAGCCAGGAAAGGCCACCCGCGGCAGACTTGCCGCTCCGCCAGGAAACACGCAACACGGCTAACGCGCCTCTGGGGGTTCCGCAGCACCCCGATCGCTTTTCACACAGTTCCGCTCGCGAAACTGCTCCAATCCACGAACTACATCACCCAGCATATCCCGCGACACCAAACCCCAGATTCGCCAGGCAATAAACCGCCTCAGAGAAAATCTGGAAGCCAGAAACAGGTTTTTCGATCCTTACTTTAAGCTCGCCAATCAGGGGAAGAAAGCGCGTTGCACACTGGGAAAAAAACCTTTCGGCTTAGGCGCAACTAATGGGAGGCATAGTTCCCGAGCTGTTGCCTAAATCAGAAAAGATGAGCTATTCCCCAGCCTTTCTATTCGCTTTGCGTCCTTATCAATAGCCCAAATCTTTAGCTATGCCCAATCACTATGTTGGTCTTGAATGAAAAAATCTCTCGCATTGAATCGCTTTAGCACCCCTACTTTTTCATCGACGGCAGACAACTGACATACTTGGAATATGCCAACGCTACACATAACTTCTATTTAAATATCATGGCTTGTCTATAGGGATGCTGGGAAGTGTAGTTGTGTAGCGCGCTCATTTAAATGGCTTCAAAGTCTTTAAATGTCCACGAAAACTTTTCTGGAAGAAAGTACTGAATCAATGCAATCGTTAACCTATCAGATTATTTCCATGGAGTTTCACTCCCAATATAATGTACCTACAATTACAACCTAAAACAAATGTAAAACAAATTTGTACCTGGAGCTTTAGTCAGAAAATAAAACAATAGGAGGCTGGGACAAATCTTCAGTAAAGAATAGGATAGCATAGCATAGCATAGCATAGCATAGAATTCTTTATTGGCCAAGTGTGATTGGACATAAAAGGAATTTGTCTTGGTGCATACGTTCTCAGTGTACATAAAAGAAAAGATACATTTGTCAAGAATCATAAGGTACAACACTTAATGATAATTATAGGGAAACAGTCAATATAAATCTTAAGGATACCAGCAACAAGTTTACAGTCATAAGTGGGAGGAGATGGGTGATAGGAACGATGAGATTAACAGTAATGCAGACTTAGTAACTAGTTTGACAGTGTTGAGGGAATTATTTGCTTAGCAGAGAGATGGTGTTCGGGGAAAAAACTGTTCTTTTGTCTAGTTGTTCTGGTGTGCAGTGCTCTATAACGTCATTTTGAGGGTAGGACTTCTAAGTATGATAAGATATATTCCTGCTTCATTAATTCCATATGAACAGATCAGGAGTCAGCAGCATCCATCTATCACCTAAGTGAAAGCATAGGCTAATTATGTTTATTCCCAATTCCTTACTTGCACAAAAATGCCCAAACAGGGGCAAATGCTACAGTGAATATAGACCTTTTCCCTATATAAATATCAGAAATGAACAAAAATGAAGCACAGAACTAAAGATGCCATTCCCTCTCTCTCTCCCTCCTCCCTCCTTCCCTCCCTCTCCCTACACATACACATTAGACTGGGCAAAATGCACCCCATCACACTCAGCTGGATTAGGATTTCCAAATCCATTAAATCCTCTCGCCTTGATTACTGCAACGCTCTCTACATGGGGCTCCCCTTGAAGAGCACCTGGAGGCTCCAACTGGTCCAGAATGCAGCAGCGCAGGAAGTGACGGGAGCAACATGGCGCTCCCATGTAATACCGCTCCTGCGCGAGCTGCACTGGCTCCCAGTGGTCTTCCGGGTGCGCTTCAAGGTGTTGGTTATCACCTTTAAAGCGCTCCATGGCATCGGGCCTAGTTATCTTCGAGACCGCCTGCTGCTACCGATGATCTCCCATTGTCCCGTGCGCTCCCACAGAGAGGGCCTCCTCAGGGTGCCATCAGCCAATCAATGTAGGCTGGTGACCCCCAGGGGGAGGGCCTTCTCTGTGGGGGCCCGTACCCTCTGGAATCAGTTGCCCCCAGAGATAAGGAGAATCCAATACCTTAGTGCCTTCCGCCGTGCCCTTAAAACTCACTTTTTCCAGCAAGCCGGGCTGGCTTAAGAAGAAATTTTAAATGTTTTAATTGGTTTGTATTTTTAATCTTGGGCCAAATTTATATATATTTTAATTGTTTTTTAATATTTGTATTCCATGTTTTTTAATTCTGGCTGTACACCGCCCTGAGTCCTCAGGGAGAAGGGCGGTATATAAATTTTAAAATAAATAAATAAATAAATAAATAAAATATATTCACCAAAAGTGAGTGGATTCGTGGTTCGGTGTAATGAAGAATGCAGTAAACTCTGGTATATTTTAATATTGACTAAATTATAACTACAAGTCCAAAGATTCTCTATCAGTTGGGAAATTACATTTTCTATATGTTATCATAATTATATTCAAATTACATTTAAATTTAGAACCCATTTAATTAGGCTAGTTATTGATGAAGTGAAGATAGATTCCTGCTGGATGTAGCATGATTGCATTTTCTCATAAGATTCTTCATTTTCTATGACATATCTAGAGCCAACAACTGGTAATATTATTCAGTCTATTGGGAAAGTTGGGTTTTGAAAAAGCAGGATAGGAAGCCTACCAAGACTCTTCTGGTGTTGGAGAAGACTTCTTAGAATACCATGGACAGCCAAGAAAACAAACAGATCACTGAACACATCAACCCATTCTTACTCAAAGCACAAATAACCCAGCTTAAATTATTATCCTATTTTGGATGTATTCTGCAAAGACCTAGCTCTCTGGAAAAGGCTGTAATGCAGGTTTTTTTTAATATTAGAAACAGTATTCTAGTTATATAGTTACCTTTAAGCATCACTCTTCTCTCAAATAATGAATCTGTGTTTCCCCGAAAATAAGACCCTGTCTTATATTTTTTTGAACCCTGAAATAAGTACTTGGCCTTATTGCCCTGCATTCAAAGCCCGATTGGGCTTATTATCAGGGGATGTCTTATTTTGGGGGAAACAGGATATTGGCAGAGTTTATGACTGGACTCTGGGATTCATTCAAAAGGAGAGATAAAGCTATGCAAGTGTTTCCAAATTACTTACACATTTGTTACATTGATATACCATCTTTCCTTCAAGACCTTTGAGAAGCATCGTGTTCCCTTCAAATTTTTGCCACAACAACACTGTGCTTAGGCTAGCAGAGCAAGAGTAAGTCGCCCAGTGAGCTTTCCGGTTGCACCACGCTGGCTGTCTCGAAGTAACAGTAACAGAGTTGGAAGGGAACTTGGAGGTCATCTAGTCCAACCCCCTGCTCACGCAGACGTCCTATACTAGGGATTCGAACCACCGACCTTTCTGATCGACAAGCTCAGCGTCTTAGCCACTGAGCCACCTAGGGAGCCGCCATTAGGGACCCTTCGCATAATCAAGCCTTCACTTCTACAGCGGCTTGCTGGAATTCAGATTACTCTGCCTAGTCGCTTTCAATCCGTTCACAGCTTGTAGCGAACCCTTCGTTTCCCCCGATCGACGATCTGCACCAGCTCAGAGACCCAGGCGAAGCGGACTTTCGCCTGCTCCAATCACCCAGTTAACTGTGGCGTGTTCAGAAATTCTGTACATTAATTAAGCAAGCCATAGATTCATATTATCTAGGAATAAGACTACTTTTAATTGTTTAAACAATAATATAGCAAACAGCAAACAAACCGGCGAAAACAAATAATAGCATTGTCGGTCTTCAGAAGTCACCAAAGCGGTTCATTAACCATGAGGAAAAAAACCACGCCCACCCAAATCGATTAGAGACGAATTAAAGCTTTAAGTCGCCGCCTAAAAGTCGCACTTGGGCGATTAGAAGATGGTGAAACCGGGCTTTTTAAGACAGACATTCTCTATATCCAATAAGAACGTCCAATAGTCGGTAGCCGGTCGTAGGCAAGGCGGTACTTCGCCTTAGCAATGGTCACGTGTGCGTGCTGCGCCTGCGAAACTTCCTTTTCTGGGCGGCCGCGAGAGAGGCGACACCATGAAGGCGTCGGGCACGGTGAGTGCTGCGCGTGTGGCCTTGCTGGGGGTCTCGTGCGGAGAGGCCTCTGCTGCTGCGTGGCCAAAGGAATGCGAGCGAGGCAAAGAGTGGTAGAAAGGCGGGGAGGGAATCTCCATTCGGGAACCTTCTTGCAGTCGTCTTTTTCCTCTGCCACGAGTGAGCACCCAATATGGCCGTCTCCCCTGCGCTAGTTCCTGTAGCGTGGGCCCCGGTCGGCTGCTCAAGTCGCGGATTCAACTCGCAACATCTTTCCCGAACCTAGGATGCAATATTAGAACGAGATTAGTTGGGAAGAAAATACAGTTGTAGCCATCCCACTCATGTCATTCTTAGGTTCTTTTCGCTCTAATCGGTTTTCAAGACTGAACTCCTCGGGGAGGTTTCAAATAGATAGTAGGTACTCTACCTCTGTAATTATTGTTTTTGAAAATCTTTATAGCTGAATTTACAGAGCATTGGGGAATCGTGGGCTTCGTTTGATTTAGTAAAGCAGCTAAATAACACCTTTTTCTAAATGTGTAAATGCATCTCTTGATCAAGTTTGATTCTAAAACTAGAATGGATTTTTATTAATATTTCTTTCTCTTCTTTCTTTTAAGCTGAGGGAGTATAAAGTTGTTGGGAGATGCCTTCCTACTCCCAAATGTCCAACACCACCTCTCTATCGGATGCGTATCTTTGCTCCTAACCATGTTGTTGCAAAGTCCCGTTTCTGGTATTTTGTCTCGCAGCTGAAGAAGATGAAAAAATCTTCTGGAGAAATTGTATACTGTGGACAGGTATTGTAATAGGAAGTGGAATAGATTTAAATATTGAAAGCATATTTTCTAATACTGCTTATTCCTAATACTACCTATACTCATTGGATTAAAAGGTTTTCCAAAAAAGTTTGTCTTAAAATTTCCATTACTGGTACCATCATGATGTGTAAAATCCTTAAATTACTTTACCCTATTTCATTTCATGACTGTTGATGAAATGAATGGCCCTTATTGAAGATAAACATAAAAAGACCTTTATTGAAGATAAACATAAAAAATAATTGCTGTTTTTGTGCCCCGTAGATGGGATAGAAATTATAAAATTCTTTTAAAATTGAAACTATGGAAATATTTTTTTCCAAGAGTGCCCTTTTTAAATTTCTTTCAATGAATTTGGCAAAGAGAGGTAAAAGGTTAAACTTTGCACAATCCATTGCTAATTTTCTGTTGCAAAGTAAGGTAGTTCTTACCT